GGGGGGGGGGGGGCGGGGGGGGGTGGTGGTGCCGGAGAGAGCTGGCTGGGAGCTTCGCAGCCCCGGTGGCTTCGGCAGTTTTGGAAAAAAGACGGAGCGCGAGATCCGCCTCGTCCTACTTTGGATACAGCGCTGAGGTGCTGGGACCCAGGACAGACCTGCGCAGTCGGTGGGGCGCAGCAGCCCAAGGATGTCAAAGGGACCCACCTGGTCACCAACCTGTGTGCACTTCCAGCTGGGGCTCGTCCCCTTTAATCCTGGACCTTGGCCCCCAAGTCCCCACTTTACTGGTTTAAGCAGTCTTGCCCTGATCTCAGGTCCTGGATGTTAGCAACAGGAAGAGAATTTATGTTTTGATTTTATTTCCTTCTGAACTCTTGGAATTAATTTTTTTTTTTCTTTTAAGGGGAGGAGTTGGAGAGGTGGCCCACTCCCAGATGCCACAAATTCCATTCAGCAAAAAGAACCAGAAGACAATGCCCCAAAGCTCCATCCTGAGGTGAAAACTGGTTGTTTTCAGATCCTAAACCCCAGATTCCAAATTTACTTTGTAATAAGAATCACATGAGGAGATTGCTTAAAACCTCAGAGTCCTGTGTTCCACCCCTACTCATTAATTAGACCCTTGGGGAATCCATATTTTAAGCCAGGAGACACAGGGATATTTAGTGAACAGAGCCCCCTGGCAGCCCTTCTCAAACATCGTGACCCTGTGAGTCACCGTTAAAATGCTGTGAAGCTTCCTGGGGAGATTCTGACCATCTCCCAGGTGAAGTCTTGTCCTGGGGCTACAGAATAGGAGCTGACACCTGAAATAAGGAGAGGAAGGGACTCTGGAGAGTCAAGGGGTTGGAAACATAAAGAGAAAACTGGAGATAGAGAGGATAAGCTGAACTAACTCCCCCACCACGTTAATGCGTTTTATGGGTATTACTGCATTACCAGTAATGTTTGTTGAGAGACTGCATGGTGCCTGTATTGTCTATCCTGCAAAATGGAGAATAGATGCAAATCCACTCCAAATTAAAAAAAAAAGATAGACAGACTTCACTTGGGAACAGAGATGAAATGCAGCCGCGGTGGGAGAACAGGTTAAGTGCAGCTCATTTAGAGGGTGCTTGGGGCTGGGTTATGATTGAAGGTGCCAACTAAAATTTGGCACCTGCCATCTGCCTCTACAAGGAGTAGGTCACAAACTGCTGTGGCCGCTGACCTTCAACACCCCCTGGAAGGAGTTTAGAGATCAGGAATGAGGCATTCTGTGCTCTGGGGAAAACTGGTGGGACAGGCCTTCAGGTAGTCAGATGTTTCCAGGAGATTTTATGAGCCAAAGTCTTGCATCTCTTCATATCTAGAAAAGCACTAAAATCATTAACGGTGACATCTTCTCCTTGTGACTAGCAGCCAGCCTCTGCCAAAATGTGTGCTTGACTGCACCTACCCCACTTCACTAAAATCATATATGATACTGACGTCTCCCCCTACCTCTTTGGGGTTTTTTAATTAATTTATTTATTTTAATTTATTTATTTTTGGCTGCGTTGGGTCTTTGTTGCTGTGTGCGGGCTTTCTCTAGTTGCGGCGAGCAGGGGCTACTCTTCGTTGCGGTGTGCAGGCTTCTCATTGCGGTGGCTTCTCTTGTTGCAGATCACGGGCTCTAGGCACGCGGGGCTTCAGTAGTTGTGGCTCACAGGCTGTAGAGCGCAGGCTCAGTAGTTGTGGTGCACGGGCTTAGTTGCTCCACGGCATGTAGGATCTTCCCGGACCAGGGCTCGAACCCGTGTCCCCTGCATTGGCAGGCGGATTCTTAACCACTGAGACACCAAGGAAATCCTCCCCTACCTCTTTGGAGCAGTTTGTCAGAGCTGTCTGAAATGCTGTCCCCTGGACTAGAGTCCTCATTTTGCCCCAAATAAAACTTAACTCACAATTCTCACATTGTGCACCTTTTTTTTTTTTTTTTTTCAGTTGGCAAAGGAGAAGCACCTCTACCCACCCTGGCCCCTGCCCTCCAGGGATGTGTTTAGATTCTACAAGGTTGGTCACCTGACCTGCTGGTAAAGGAGTTGGATCTTATTGGAGGCCATCCTGGGTCTGGGGACAGGGACCGGGCCTGGGAGTCTGTGGATAGGGCCAGGTACTGTTGGTCTAACTGGAGAGTTTGGCTGGGCCTAGTGGGAGACCTTCCTCAACAACTGCCACGGCAGAAGAGAGAGAGGGGACACTGCTCCTGGGTCAGAGGTTGGAGCCACTGTGTACCTGGATGACTCAGGGTTAGACTAAAGAACCTGCAGTGAAGCATAGGGGATTTGGGAGTCTGAGACCAGCCCAGCTGAGGGAAGAAGGAAGCAAGGATGATACATGCCAGGAGATTCCTACATTCTTGTGAAACAGCTTGAGTCTGAAAGCGGTGACTGGTCAGATAACAGTGACATTTACCCGGGAACTTTGGGACCTTCAGCGTTATCTCATGTAATCCTCAGGACATCCTTTGGGTTAAGAACACTGCTAATACCCATCTTACACCCAAGGAAACAGGTTTTCAAAGCAGTATGTTTTCCAAAGGGGCTTCCAAAGCAAGTGTGCATCAGATTTGCCTGGTTAAGATTAAGATGCTGAGAGCTGGGCCCCACTCCAGAGTTTCTGATTCATAGGTTGGGGTGGTGCCTGAGAATTTGCATTTTTAACAAGTGCTCAGGGATGCCGCTGCTGCTGGACCTGGGGCGCCACTTTGAGATCCACTGATTTAGAGACCACACAGGTAGTCTGGGTCACCTAGAACAACGGGTGGAGCCACAGTCCCTCTGTTGCAGGACATAAGCCTGTCGGATAATGCTGGGTCTGCTTAAGGATCTGGAAGGAGAGGTCTGTAAGTTACTTTTAAGAAGTAGGAGCCTCCCTCCATACCCCCCTCCCAAGCTGAGGGTGGGAGACCAAGCTGCAGAAGCAGTAGGAGCCGAGCCAGAGCCCTCAGCCTGGGAGCCTCCACCCTGAGGGATGGTGCAGGATGAGTGTTAGAATCTCTCCTGTGCCCTGTGTTCTCTGAGGCCTTTGCACGGTCCCAGGGCAGCAGACAGAACTTCCAGGCTGCCTGGGAAGACTTCTCAACAACTTCTCTTGCTTCTCAACCCACACTGCTCTGGAGCTGAGATATCACTGATATTAAAGGCACCTCTGTGACTCAGGGGTAAATGGTGCACTTAGGTGAGTGACCTGGGCCCAAAATGTATCTAGAGCAGCAATGAGATGAGGATGAGGGTGGGGATGGCGGGTAGGGAGTAGTGCTGGGGCTGAAGGAACCACAGCAGCTTGCTTTGCTGGAAAGAGCCTCAGTGTTTAGGAATCACAGTTCAGCTCCATGGTGGCCTTCAGCCAGCATGAGCCTCAGTTTCTGCTTCTTTGAAATGGGTGTGTTAGTCCCACTTTGGAGGGTTCTACGCACAGCACGGAGGATAACTGCTATGGTTGCTGTGATGGTCGTTTCTGCCAGGCCCTGCCTGGTTCTCAGCCTCCCGAGTCCTCCAATGGCCACCTGTGCCCACCTGAACCCTCAGCGAGTCCTAGCCTCGAGGGCAGAGGTTCTTGACATGGACTCAGTGGAACTGGTTCCTTTTGGCCTAAGGAAACCCAGCTAAATAAGGACTCGGCATCAGCTCATCCCTTGCTAGTCCAACCCTCGCCTTGGGCCTGATTCCTGAGAGCCCCCTGGATCCCTGTCTGGCTCCCTGGGCCCAAGGCTCCCTCAGGGAAACCCGCTTATCTCCACCTAGGAACTAATGTTCTGCATCAGGACCCCCATCTGGAGTCTGGCTCCTGCCATTCTACTAATAGGCTGCTGGCTTGGCTTTCTGACCCATTGGGCTACCTCTATTTGCCAAAGCACCCCATCTCTCTCCAGGAGTCACCCCAATGCTGACTGCCCCTCCTATTGTCAGTCACACTACTGCATGCCCTATTCCAATGGGCAGCACACAATTTTGCTGGCAGACTCCCTAAAGGAGTTTTGAAAAACTAGGTACCAATTATTTTTCATCATAGAGTTAAATAAGTATATTTTTAATGGGAGGTAGCACATATTAAATGCTTCATGAAAAAAAATAAGATGAAGACTGACTGTAATTGGAAAAAATATTTCATGCTGCGATTTGATAACACAATGATCATGAAAAATTATATAAAATTTTTATCTATGAATTTTTAACCATACATCTTGACATTTTTTGATAAAAGACCTGGAAAACTTTCCAGCTACACTTC